AATTCCATACTTATTTTCGCGAGCGGTTTTTTTTCATCCACGATTTTCTCTAAAAAGTCCATTTATATCGCGCTTCAGAGGCTGTCCGTGAAGGACATCATCGTCGAGGCAACGTGCAACGTTAATGATGTAGCGCCTGCTGCGCTACGACCGACTTTATCGGGGATGCCAGGTTGCGATACCTGGATCCGCACAACCGTTATCGAGAGGAAAATAGTGGGGGGGTCCAGTCGGATCTCACATATTGGCTTTTCAATACTCTTTCTCGACAGACGAATATACGTATAATCGCGACTTACCGATCGTTCATCAATCTCTCGCCTCTATACATGATCGAGAAGACGCGATAATTATAGTCTTCGCGATTGTAATCGCGAGGTTTTCAAGCGAATTCCAAAGAGATCTAGTTAGCCTTCGCGAATTTCAAAGATGACAGTCATCTTCAATAATATCGCATACATCATAATCAGGGATGTGCATTATTTGAATGAAATAAAAGCACTTAAAGTATAGAAATATAAATTTGAATTTCAAATACATGTTTGCGAAACCTATTTTACATTTGCATTTGTAAATATGGTTTCAAATGCATTTTTTGTAAACTATCAGTATTTTCTTATAATCAACATTTTTTATAATTCTATACATGTAAATACATTTATATACTTTTTTTGTTTTTTGTTTATATTAGAAATATATAAAGTTTATGAAAGTTTAAAGAGTTTATAAAAAAAACTTATAAAAATTTATAAAAAGTGTATAAAATTTAATAAAGAAATAAAAATTTAAATATATATAAATATTATTAGATATTTGAAAATATTATTTGCTATTTTAAATGGGTTTGAACATTCATTTTGCACATCCCTGATCATAATAAATACTCCGACTGCTAATTAAAGAGTAGATTGATATCGCGCTATATGCATAAAAGTTCGCGAATAAAAGACGCAATTTATTATCAAAAAATACATTATTCCACGACATTTTTATTGAAAAATCCGTGTTTTGGCACGAAATATTCTAAGGATATTGCTGTAACGGGAATTTGCATACGCGAGACTGATTTTCACGGTTAAAAGTGATCGATAAACTTGTTTACTTGTACAATGAAAGACGACCTACTATATACATACATATAGATATATCAATGTTTCGTGCAAGAAAAAGAGATATTTCTTGCGTTTCGTATATGTGTACTCGTCGCAACTTTCTCCGATAATTTTGCCAATTTAAAAGTTTGACGTCTTCGTTGATGACACATCCGTGACATCCACGCGCCACGTTGACAATGAATGATTACAACAAGTGTTACATCGGCGCTTACATCAAAAGCGGTATATAATATAATTCCCTCGAAGGAGATAATATCTGTGTAACTTGCGGCATAATGTGTATATTATAAGAGTCATATTGTTCTTGCGTTGTTATCAATCTGTAACCTGTTTCCTTTGTCCGTGTCTGGCGCGAATATTATACAATTCGCACATAAGAATGGCAATCTGGCGCGCTTGTCCTTCGAACTGTTGAATTAATTACTCGACTTCGCGAATTAATTACTCAACGTCTTATTAGAAGTAGCGAAACAAATTACGTCTGATTATATGTGGATACGACGACGCGATCTGATCAAGATTGCTTGCGGCGAATTTAAAGTGACGCGAAAATTTTTTAAACGACATCTGATTATAATGAAGCTAATCAAAATTGCACGAGTGTAAATATTTAATAGGATCCTGTTTTCGATTTTAATTTTAATTAAGATTTATGAAGAGTTGACCCAGCTTTTATTTCGAAATTAAAAGAGAGGTAGAATAAATAATGATTTTTGCACCAAATTGTGTCAGAGATATGAAAATATATAATTATCAGTAAAATATAATTATATATATAAATATAAATATATATATATATTATATTTATATTATATATAATATAAATATAATCCTAAAAGAAAGTTATTCCATACACTATGTATTTTTTATTCTTATTTGTCAAATATTTTAAATATATTGATTATTTAATATTTGTTAAATATTTATTTAAAATAAATTCTGATTAGTGTATTATTTCGTTCCAGATTGACCAATATCAATAATAAGAATTAAAAAAACTGTGACGAACGAATAGTTTGCTCTCATTAAAGAAATCTCGAGGCCACGTTATGTAAAATCTGTTGCCGATTACACGTGTGTCGCATACACGCCAATTTATCCCGTATATACCATTTCTATATCGCGTGTCCCATATATTATTATCGATAACGGAAATTGAATCCCCCGCTCGATTCGTGTCAAATGAAATCGGCCGAATTGGGTCGTTAAAGCGTACAATCGCGAGCGAGCGCGAGCGACCGCGCATACATTTATCGCTCTTTCCCGGGCTTTCACGCACTTTCATCATTATATGTAGCGTGCGATCCACAAAATCTTATGCACATCGGTTGCATCGAGGACTGTCGGTTTTTTACCGCGAGCGAAACAAATAAAGAGGGAACGCGCGAAAAACGACCGGTCATTTCGCCGCGCGTAATTTCTCTTTTAAATTAAGTAAATAAGACTCATCGTCGTGATATAATATATAATATATATATATAATATTGTAATATAGTATTATTATACCACGACGATGAATATTTGACAAATATATATATATATATATATATATATTTGTCAAATATTTTAAATATATTGATTATTAAATATTTGTTAAATATTTGTTTCAAATAAATTCTGATTAGTTTATTATTTCGTTCCAGATTGACGAATCTCAATAATAAGAATGAAAATGTGACAATATGGGCGGTGCACCAAGAGAATTTGTGTCTTATCTCTTTATTTATATCGCGCTTCTGATATCCGACGAAATATAGTGGATCACTTAGGCACGCGTATATATATATATAAATATTTATATATATGTTTATCACGGAAATATGCGCGAAACCATCAACACGCAGAATCCGCCAAGGATAAATCGAGGTCACGATCGGCTTTAACGGTAATTCCTTCGTTCGGCAGTCACTTGGAAATCGTCGGGGAACGATCGATACTTAATTGCATCACGGAGAATTTCGTCAATTTCATGGCTACCGGTCTGACCGGGTAAATTCTTCCTCCTCGAGAGCGAATAAAAGTCGAGCGCTTTAAGTAATTCCCGTCTCTCGCAGTCGTCTTAGACCGCATTTAAGTTGGTCGCGTTTACTTCAAACTTGTTCGAAAACTTCCTGCGCTTTTAATCAATGGCGGTAAGCCAAGCTCTATTTCTAAGCTAAATGACATAATAAGTCTTCTCATACATATCAAACTTTTACAGAGCTCAAAGAGCTCTGTCTGTATATGTACATGCACGTTCATAGATATTTTTGCACGATAAAATTATAATTTAATATAAAATAATGTAATAGTTTATAGCTCGTACGAATTAATATATAATAATAATAATAAATTGAGGCTTTTTTGGACGAGCAGATATAGAACAAAATTTTGTAAATAAATACTCGATTAAAAATTTTTTACATCCTATATTTGCTCGTCCAAAAAGCCTCGATTTATTATTATTATATTATAATTTAATACTTGTAATTTTAATTAGAATTTTATTTTAAGAAATATAACTCATTCTGAATTTTTTCTCAGAGAGAGAGAATTAATTTTAAATTAATTCAACATTAATTCTGAATTAGTTTTGAATAAATTTAGAGGAATAATTAGTAATAATTTGTATTATGTAATTTCAAACAATTTTACACATAGTCGAATTATCCCTATTGCAGGACACCCTGTATATAAATATATACTATATATATACAGTTTTTTATTTTTTGCACTGAAATATAATGATTAGAAAGTGTCTCGACAATTTTCCTACTCAAGTTAGTGCATCATAATTTATGAAAAAAACACTTTCGTATTTTATCGATGTACTTCTCTCTTCCTGAAATCTTCTCAATTCTTAAGAGTTTAACAAGGCTCTGTAATAAAAATATAAATTTTTAAAGTGTAAGACAGGCAATAAGAGCCAAATCGCGGATGACAGTGCGTTATCCCAACGAAACTAAATTTTACTTGGTCACGGCCAAGATTTATAATTGGAATAATCTCTACAAGAGATTTAATTCCATACTAATTCTAACGAAAAAATTTAGTTTCATTGAGATAACGCACTGTCATCCGCGATTTGGCTCTTATTGCCTGTCTCACACTTTAAAAACTTCTTAATTCTTTTTAAATTTTTCCGACTGCGCGAGAGAAAAAGATCCGAGAAAAACGCGCTCCCGGAAAATATATCGCGGGTCGAGAAAACTTGGTAACAAGTACATGAAAAGATAATATTCCCATGGGCTCTCAAGTTTCAAGTGACCGCGAAGAGATGCTGTTAGCTACACCGAGAGAGCACTTTTTGTGTGCGGTCGCAAAGAGGAAAAAGGAGGAAAAAAGACAGAAAAGAAGCAGAAGAAAGAAACTGCGATAGTTAGTCGATTCCAACGGTATACCACTTCGATAAATCGAATCGATCTGGATGCACAGAAAAAAAGGAATCCTTGATTCAAGTATATTTTTATTCTTGAACGCTATTTGATTGATTTAAGCATAGAATGCTCTTTGTAATCACAAATTTTCATTTGCCTTAACAATAAATAAGTTTGTGAAAAGTATATTTTATCCTTAAGATATATTCTTGTTTTAAAAATTGCATATGATAAAAATAAACTTAATCACATTTGAACTAAGAATTATATAATATATACTTGAAAGTATCGCTTATATCTAATGCTCACTTGTCACTTGTCCTTGCAATATTTATAAGTAAATTTCAGCTTGAACCAAGAATATTTTGCACTTTGTTTTAAGGATAAATTATCCTTTATCCAAAATTATTTCTATTTGGCGCTATTATAAGGATAAAATATACTCGAATCAAAGCATATTTGCATTCTTTCAAGGATACTGTTTGTTCTCTGTATATTCACGGCCTTCTCCACTCGTTCCTTTACTTACGAGAGAAAAGAACCGGAGAACGAGAGATCTGCCGTGTCAGATCTGTCAGGGCAGCCTGGTGGTTCGCCAGCCGTTGAAACGCATCCCGGCGACTATCCCGAAATCGGAGGAATCCGCGCCGGCATTCCTCTCCGGGTCGGAAACGACGCGTCACGTCATCCTCGTCGAATCGTCTCTTCTCTCGAATCCCCTTATCTTCCGGCCGGTGGTCCACGGGAGGAGCGCATCGACGATGTATCGCTTTTCTCCTATCCGGATGGGAGCCGGATGTTAAGAACGGAAAAGCGATGCGTGGCAAGACTTACCGGACGCGCTTTCTTCTCCGGATCGTGTCTACGTCTTAGATGTATACACGAGTGTGTTTGTGTTTGTGTGTATGTGTGGTACCGGCTGCTGCCGGATGAATGCGACGCGCCTTGAATGGAAAGAACGAAGGCTGTGCGCGTGTATGTATTTGTGGAAAGGGAACTCCGAAGGATCTCCCTTGAATATATCCTGGATAGTCCCGAGTGGCCCGCACGAGATTTATTCACTCCTCGCGAAGATCGAGAATTCACTCGCGTGGATCACGATCAACGAATTTTCTTCTTGGATTATGCATCGACCTGATCGAGCTGGGGCACCCTGGACCAGCTAAAAACCCGGTCTGAAGGTCGATCGAAAGGATACCCGTTTTGCACGCACCTCTACATACTATATACTTCACCAGCAGCAGCCGGCTGCACACGTTCTCCGAGAAATGTTCGCCACTTCGGCAATCGCGAATTTCAACCCCCTTGTGACAACTAATATGATATGTGTCATAGAAATATATTTGCGCTGCGAGAGAGACGACTCTCGCGTTTCGGAGCCCGAAAAGTCCGGGACGAAAATACTATGTCGTACGTCGTGTCGGCGTCTCGTTCCGAACTGCCGCCAGACGCCAGACGAAGTCTCCGACTAGGGAGCCGTTCGAGAGGATCGAGAGGGGAGCGAGAGAGAGAGAGAGAGAGAGAAGTGGTCGATTGGTCAACTTATGTGGCTCCGACGGGAAGGGTGATGCCTTCGGGACCCTAGCACTTGGGGAACACATGGGAAGTCACGATAGGGAGTAGCATCTGCACTGATCAGAAGCAGACGATCTGCGAATTTATCGCGTGTCTCCGGTTCCTCGCGATAATTGACGCGAAATTAGATTGAAACGCGACTTCTGAGACCTATCTTCCAGAATAAACTGATAACGAGATGAAACATATGGGAAACCTGAATGAATTATAATAAAATAATTATAATTGTTTCTTTCGAATGCTGATAAATATATAGCCACCTTGTTACAATTTTAAATAATGATATATGATAGAATTATAATTTAAAAAAATTATAGATAATTAAATTGATAATATAATTTTCTTTGACAATAATACAACTAATAAAATAATATAAATGATTATATCTTGTTACCAATTTATAATAATAATAAATATAGAGTAATAAATTATATCTTCTTGGATTTTAAAATGTAATTGACAATAAAAAATTATAATTAAATTAAACTTTAATGATATGAGAAATTTATAATTAAATAATGATAAATGCTTAAATATAAATCTTGTTTTAAATGATATAATTTATTGATTTTTAATGATAAATTATAATTAAATAATTGTATGATTACAAAGTTTTAGTTTAAAATTTTTGTTAAAATTTTTAATTTCTTCAAAAAATTAAAGTTGCGAAAATGAAGATTAATAACATTTTTGAATCTGTATTATATTAAGATTCGATTATTTAATAAATGTATTTATTTATTTTTGTTAGTGAATTCCCACATTTTCTGATTCATCTAGCCAGTTTCTATATGAGATATCGTTATAAATGAACGATGAAAGAGATTCTTTGAGTTGCTATCCGCCACAACCGGATGCAATAATTAGCCGAAACACGTTCCCAGACCTCTTCTTTCTCACAAAACAGCCAGAACTTATTTCTTCGAAAACCCTCGAATCTTTGAATTATTTTCTCAAGCCCGAATCTCCGCAAGTTGCGATAAAAATAGTTTTAGCGCAATAATTTAGAATGCTAATTAATTAGCATTTTAATATACGTCAATCCGTTAATTTATCATAATACACATATATTTCTTTACGTATAAAAAAAATTAAGAAAAGAAAAAAAGTTTAAATAAAAAATAGTCGCACAAAAAATTACACAGATAAAGATTTGATATTTTAAAATTAATAACAAGTCTCACCAATAATCTAATTAAATATGAATTTTGTTAGAAATAACAGACGTTAAGATTATATATATCTAAGTCTAGATTTTTGTCTAAATATCATTCATCGGAAATTGGGAACGGAATTTCAGCGGCTCGCCGGAATTTCCTCGTCGGAATTGTCGGGCGCTAACAGGAAGTCGGGCTGTAATTAACTCTTCGATCGCATCAAAAAATTCGCACGTGGGCGAAATCGGCTCGAAGACATCTATAGACTGCCGGGATAATATACGGGAAGAATTGCGAGTTGCAGCACGAGAGTAAAAGGATATCTCGACAAGACCTCATCACAACGTACACCATTCCCGAGCTAACTTTCTCGACTGAATTTAATAAAGGACGAGCCGTCGTCTCTCTATCGAACGATCTTGATCGATCAAAAGTATCCGGGGCTCCTAGAGCTCTCCATCAATTTTACCTCATTTAAAGCAATGGAAATACTATAATCAAATGTTTTAATCAGGAATTGGAGAATAAATGTACATTTTCTTCAAAGAGATCGAGCTTTATTTTCAAGATTCATTTTTGATAATATTTCGTTAGAAATCTAGAATTATAAAATATATTCGGAATATTGAAAAATTGACAGCAACATTTATTTCTCCAAATTTTTCGTTGCTTTAAATGACAGAACTCTTTATAAAATTGATTAAAAATTGTACAATTTTTCAGAGGAGAGAAAAAAGGATACACGTGTCCAAAACTCTAATGATTAAATTTAATTAAATTTAAATAACGTTATTAGAATTTGAAAATGTGGGTCTAATTTTTTATGGGGATACCGAAGATCCGAGATCATCGAACGAAAGGTGAAGCGAATGACGAAACGAATTTATACGTCTAACAGAACGCGGAATTAATCTCTTGCTGTGAAACTACTTCGTCTTACAATGGTAGATAGCTACGATCATCTATCCAAAGTAAATCGATCCTTATACGGCTATAGATGCAGCTTTAATAACAAGGAACCTCGAATCTCAAGACTCTTGTAACAAGGATACTTTCACTTGTTGCTCGTGATTCAAAAGAATATTCTCACAAAACGCTCGCGTTTGTAAACTTTTTAGCTTTGCAAGATAACAAAGTGTATTTTGTGAGCTAAAGCAAACGAAACAAATCGCGAGAGAATCATGAGAGCTTATAGTAGATGAAATAAAGACGCGTAAATTTATTTCATTCAATATTTTCGTCATATCGGAGTTTTTCGCAAAAATTAGCGACAATTTTGATCGATGCGCGTTTTATTTGATGAATTAATCGAGGACAAAAAAGCCTTTGCAAGGTCGAGGAGAATGTCCTTCGTTAAAATCTTGTTAAAATCTCCGACCTGTTTTTTTTTTTTCAATTTCGATCAAGCGAGCAAATTAGCACTCGGTGTTGAACGAACAAACTCGACGATTTCTTTTTTTTTCAAGTACACTCTTGAGTAATAAACCGAGTATACCAAATGGCGAATTGAACGAAAGAGAGCGGGTTCTCGCGAAATGTAGGTTACATACGCATCTCAACGCGGATCAAGAATGAGATTAAAATGTGACGGAGTCGAAATGATATACGAGACAACAATCTATTCATTTTCGCAAGGCGACGTTACGGATAAGAAAAGCTATTTGAGGAAGCGACAGGACAGTTTATGATAAGAACTACATAAAATTTACTGTACAATACATATAGATAAAATAGATTTTTTTAAAAATGTGGGCGTAACATGAATTGTGTGGGTTATCCATACTTAGATATGGGCGGATGTATGTCAAAATTAATGATATAGAACTACATTGTATCCAGCACATATGAAGCTTATTTTTTCCTACTTCAAAATAACAAGCAGAAAAATATACATAAAGTACCAAAAATTTATTAAAATTATAATCAGAAAGATATAATAAATATATAATTCATTATCAGTTATTTTAATTAAAAACAATTAATTATTAGTTGATATTATTATAAATATTAATAAATTAATATAAAATAAATTATTAAAAAATATTAATAAATTAATATAAAATAAATTATTAAAAAGTCTTAATAAATTAATAAAAAAATAAATAAATAAATAAAAAATCAATATTTATAGTCATAGAAAAAATGCATGCTGGCTATTGCATTTATTTGCTGCTTATTTTAATGAAAGCCGTTTATTCTTGCGCATTTGCGTGTCGGTTGCCAATCGCGCAGCCCATCGTTGAAGAAAAATGACAGGATATATCCTTAAGTAAGGCCTTCCCAACGAAAGGAACAATAGGCCGCGAGCCAAAGCTCGCAACTGGGACATGGCTGTCACGATCATCATTACGGACAATAATTGTTTCGAGGGATATCCTCGCGATGCACTCCCATCGCCAGGTATGTATATTTGCTTTGGCATTAACTATCCATACAGAATATTTCGTGAGATGCAAATCAAAATCGAATATTTTTCGTCGATATTGTAAATATTTTTTGCGTGCATAATTAAATTAATATTATAAAATTATATTATATTATTTTATAAAATATATTTATATTAAGTATTATCATATTATGTATTATATTAAATACATATTATACATTATATAAATATATTATATTTTATAATTTTACATACATATAAACTATGACAAAAAAATTCGTTATTTCACAAACTTTATGCTGAATCGATAGAAAAAAATTAATCACGCGGATAAATTTTAATTCTCAAAACTTTTTGACAAATTGATCGTTGAAATAATTGTTTACTTTCTTGTTTAATTTATATTTTCGTAAATATGTTTTGCGGAAACATTTATACGCGACTTCCTGCATACTTTATACTGTAATACAAGAAGATTACTGTGTCTCGTCATATATACCCGTGACAAATTAATAATTGGCACAATGATAAATTAAAGCAAAAAAGGGAGAGGGAGATAATGCGTGTATATATATATATATATATGTGTGTGTGTGTTAATAGTATGTTAAAATTGTGACGTAATTGTTAAATATTTAAACTAGTGCCTAATCTTAACCCGTGGTAATCTGCATTGGTGTTTTACTTTATAGTATCTTATCACATTGACCATAAATTTGTCCACTTAGACGGAACAAATGTGTAATCATCGTAAACTTTTATAGCAACATACTGCTCTCTAACAGTTACATCTAATTTTAACCTTAATAAACATATATAGCGCGGTTATGAGGAAAATATTTTCTCTGAAATTATCCTACACATGAATATGTGGCTCTCTGCTGCTCGATAATTTACAATAACGTCTTCAGGCGGCGCAATTAGATAAGCAGATTAGAAGCTTAACGGGGTCTCTCGCCGGGAAGAATAAATTCTTCATTTTTTTCTCGCTATGTACATATATCGGAGCACAGTTTTGTATTGCAGAACTATTAACAAGCAGTGTACAGGATATGTAATATTACTCGCACTCGGCTGTTATACGATCGTCCGGAGAATCCAGCTCGTCGACGATGCCGTAATCGATCTGAGAAAGATACCATGATACGAGAGAGGAACAGTTGTTACAATAGCTGTTACGAGCTGATCGAGAACTCGCAAAAGAGCTGACTCGCAGGATAAAAAATATTTGGAATATTAAGAAATTGGGTCATTTTCTCCCACCGACATTTATGTAAACATTTGTGTACAATATTGACACACAATTGACAACCTCATTACGATTATGCTTCTTATTTTAT